GCTTCCACATCTCACCAACGAACAACTTCCAGCAAGTGGAGGGGTCAGATGATGTCATGGGGTCAAGAATGTTGCTGGTGTTTTCTTCAAGGTCCATGCTTGTTGTCTGCCCCTCGCTATCTGATTGTACCAAGTCTTTATTTGTTGATGAGTCTTGGTTTGTTGAAGCTTGGTTTTTTTTTTCCTCGCTGTCTTTAGTCTGGTCTACCTTGGAGTCTGACTGAGTCCCTTCTACTAGGGGTTGCGCTATTTCGGCGTCAACTTCTATCCCTAGTTCGGTGGTGTCAGTTAGGTCGACTAGGCAAATATGATGACTTCCAGGAGTAAATTCTGCGACGAAGTCTGCCAAAGATTGGGCTTTTATTGCGGTCCTAGGTTGGAACTTGATGTCGAATTGTCCCAACTCTACTGCCCACTTCAAAATTCGCCCAGAAAAGTTCGCCCTCTCAAACAATGCTTTTAGTGGGAAAGCTGTGAGGACGACTATAGTGTGGGCGTGAAAGTAGTGTGCCAATTTCCTAGAGGCCATCATTAAGGCTAATGCTAGTTTTTCCTGTGGCAAATACCTTATTTTGGCTCCCAGCAATGTCTTGCTGACATAATAGATGGGCAAGTGTTGGATTCCTTCTGCACGAACCAACACTGCTAACTGCGTGCTTAGAGACTGCCAGGTACAAGAAGAGTTCTTCACCGGGTACTGGGGTAACAAGCAGTGGTGGGGAAGACATATATTCCTTCAAGCTTTCCAGAGCTTGGTCGCATTCTTCATCCCACTCAAACTTGGCCTTTAAGGCATGAAAAAATGGTCGTAGTCTGTCTGACGACCGACTGATAAATCGGTTGAGTGCAGCTGCCATGCCGGTGAGATGCTGCACTTCCTTTACTGAGTTTGGTCTCTCCAAATCCTGGATTGCTTTGATCTGAGAGGGGTCTGCTTTTATACCCCGATTGGTCACAAGGAAGCCCAGGAATTTGCCAGATCCTACTCCGAATGCACACTTGGACGCATTGAGGCGCAACTTGTGCTTCTTCAGGATCTCAAACATCTCGCCTAGGTCCTTAAGATGGTCATTCTCATCCTTCGTCTTGACCACCATGTCGTCGATGTAAGCCTCCATTGTTCTGCCTAACAATGGTTCGACCATCTTGGTGACCATCCGTTGGAATGTTGCCCCTGCGTTCTTCAGGCCAAAGGGCTTGACCTTGTAACAGTATAGTCCTCTTGGAGTTGTAAAAGATGTGACCTCCTGGCCTGGCTCATGCATGGCGATTTGGTGGTAGCCTCTGTATGCATCCAGAAAGCTAAGTCGGTTGTGCCCCGCCGTTAAGTCTACCAGTTGATCTATCCGTGGTAGAGGAAAGCTATTTTTTGGGCACGCCTTGTTGACTGTTTTGTAGTCGATGCAGACACGCCATTTGCCATTCTTCTTTGGTACCACAACCGTGTTGGAGATCCATCTTGGGTAGTGCACTTCTCTAATTGCTCCAGCCTCTAGCAGGTTGCCTACTTCTTCCGCCACTATCTCGGTGTGGTGGAGTGCCGATCTGCGGGTGCGCTGAATGACTGGCCTGGCGGATGGGTGGACATTAAGTTGGTGACAGATGAAGTTTGGATCAATGCCTGGCATGTCGTAGGGTGTCCAGGCGAACACTTCGATGTTAGAGGTTAAGAATTCCAGGACTTCTAATCTCTCAGTGCTGGACAACGACGAACCAAGCAAAAAGAACTTATCCGAGTTCTTTTCATCTATTTTTACCTCTACCAAGTCCTCCACTGCTTTCTGGTCCACCGCTTTGCCGACATCTGTGAATAGCTCATTACTCTCTGGTTCTTCCACCGAATGAACATATCCTTTGGCAGCGCGGCTGCCATTCACCGTGACGAAGCATTGTTTTGACATGATCTGATCTCCATAGACTTCTTCAATTACACCGGTGTCGTTGGGGAACGGCATTACTTGATGGTAGGATGACGCCACCGATCGCATGGCATGCAGCCATGTTCTGCCCAAGATGATATTGTAAGTGGAGGGGACCTTCAATACCCAGAACTCCAC